CCAATAAAGGCGACGCAAAATCAGAAAACTAGTGGCCTACTAGGGGTTATTTTACCAAAGGCATTTTTAGTGGTTTATTATTAAATACCTCTAGATAAAATGCTGATTATTATCGGTAGTCAGACATCAGGTTAAACCGCAGGTAATTTCGGTGGTTATTTAACAGCCAGAATTACTACTGGTAATCGTTGATTTTCCTGTAGTGACAACCAAGCTACATCAAATATTGATGGGATTGCTACTATATCCCGTATATATCTTCTATAATTCCCTAAGTCCTATAGATAGGAGAGGATCAAGACAATAAAGAGGATGAAAAAAAATCAATGTGAAAGAGAGGAAAGACATATGGTAAAGAGAGATATTGTATCATTTTTCCCTTTATTAGCTTAGGCTCTATAGCAAAGAACCCTTGCTTTCATTATTCTCATACATTTGGCTTAGATAATAAAAATTTTATCTAGATCCATCTTCTCTCTCTCTCTCTCTCTCTCTCTCATCCTCTCTTTCTTTCTCTTATACTCTTACTTCATCATCTACACCTCTTAGCTCTCAATCTATAGGTGGACTAAAGTACGGCCTAGCATCATCCACCATATAAAAAAAGATCCAACACTTATAGTTAAATTAAGTGTCTCAATGAGTCAAATTTGACAAGCCAAATATTACTTAATTTTGAAACCATCAAGTCACCTAATGTTGAAGGATATATGATCAATGAAATCAATATGGGGAATCTGACGGAGTTTTCTATATTTTTCATATATTTATGAGCATGTAATTCTAAGAAAATTTATAAATAAGCTCTAACTCTCTATATAATTGGAAACCTAAAGCTTGGACTTTAGCTTGAGAGTTAAATAGAGCTCAGAGATTATAAGAATCCCAAAGCTCCACTTGAGCACCAGCATTTGGACATTGTTATATCATCACTATCAGACCACTACATGACGTCACCTTGGACCATCGCATGAGCATAACTAGTAGGCCACTACCCAATTGCCTTCATCAAAACATTACTTGACCAACACCATTAAAATACTACTTGACTTCTGCTTTCAGACCACCACTTGGCCATTGCCACCAAAATATTTCCTGACCACCAACTCTCAAATATCATCCTTCATAAATTGTCACACAATCATGGTCCTTCTAATTAACATCTCCTAAATATAGATCATTTGATTATCATCACTTGATTATGATTGTTTGACCTCTATCTCTTAATAATAGTCCTCCATCCATCATCATCTAACTATAATCCTTTGACCTACATCACATGAATATGATACTCTAGCCACCATTCCCTGACTATAATCTTTCGATCATAATTTTCTTATTATAGCCCTTTAATCATCATTACCTGATTGCAATTCTCAGACCATTATTGGATGACTACAATCCTCTAACCACCACAACCAGACTAAGATCCTCTGGCCACTATCACTTGATTATGATCATTTATCCATCATCTCTTAACCATGATTTATCAATTCTTTGTCACCTATTATGGTCAATTCAACCACTGTCGCTCTCAATTTTGATCCTTCTAACCATAGTAACGAGGCTATAGTACTTTTGACTACTATCACTCAACTATGATTCTTTGACCTATGTCACCCAACTATGGTCCTTTGATTACCATCACCTGATTATGGACCTCAAATCTTCATCGCTAATTATAATTCTCCAAACATTATTAACTGACTATAATCCTTTGACCATTGACTCCTATCTATAATTCTCTGATAACTATCGCCCGACTACAATCCTTCAATAACCATTGTCCATTTACGGTCCTTGTAACCACCATTGCCTAACTATCATCCTATTATTATCTTCTATTGACTACGTTCATTTAACCACCATCACTTTACTATAGTCTTTCTGACCACCATCCCTTGATTATGGTCCTTGAACCTCTATCACTTGATTATGATCATTCTGACCACTATTGCTCAACCAATAGTCCTCCACCCTATGTTACCCAACTATGGCCATCCAAACACTATCACTCGACCGAAATAATTTTTACCACCATCATCAGACCATGCTCCTTTCAATCATTGCCACCTAAGTATGATTCCTCTGACCATCATTGCTAGACTAAGGTCTTTCAACTATTGTAGCCCAACTACAGTCTTTTAACCTTTATCATTTGACTATGGTCCTTCCAACCCTATTATTAGAATAAAATCCTCTAATAATCATCTTCTGACTATAGTCTTCTAACCGTGTCACTCAAATATGATCCTTCAAGCACAATTGCATGACAACAATTCATCAATCTTTGTCTTCTGACACAGCCCTTCCAAACATCATTGATGGACTATAATCTCTAACTTGTCTCACCCAACTATGGTCATTTGACCACCATCTCCCAACTAAGGTCCTTCAGACCACTATCGCCTAATTACTTTCTTCAACTTGTATCACTTGGCAATAATCTTCCAACCATTATCACTTAACCGCTGTACTTTAACCACTATCACCCAACCATGGTCCTTATGTCCACCATCAACTGATTATTATCCTTCCAACCATAGTTACCTGATTAAGGTCCTCTGATTATCATATTGACTTCAATCCTCCAACCTCTATTGCTTGACTATGGTCCTTTGTCCACTTTCACTTGACCACGATCCTTCTGACAATCATCATCTGACCAAGGTCCTTCCAACCACTATCACTTGAATGTGATCCTTATGATTGTCTTTCACTACTATTGTTATGTCGTTGCTAGATTATGATCCTCTGATCACCATCGTCTAACTACAGTCCTCATATCTTCATTGTCTAACAATGTTCTTTTAACCTCAATCGTCTAACCATAATCCTCTGACCATCGATATTTAACTATGAATTTTTACCATCGTTGTTTGACTATTATTTTCTAATGTACAATCCTTAAACTATTATCGCCTGGCTATATCAAAGCCTACTAATGTCATCACCTACTATCGTTGATATTGTCAATGCACGCCATCATTTATAAGCACTACATGAAAAACGCTGAAAACCGGCGGTTTTTTCCGGCGGTTAGTGTAGATTTACCGGCGGTTTTTAAAGTTACCGGCGGTCTAACGGCGGTTTGTGAACCGCCGAAAAAAACAGCGTAGGAAACCATTCCCGGCGGTTTTTAAAGTTACCGGCGGTTTTTTCCGGCGGTTTAAGATCGATGCACGCCAATGATATTAACACTTACTTATGTTATCATCTCTATAATTTATGTTGATATTTTTTATCTCTTTGTCTCCACTCTCAAAGGAGTACGACCAAATAAAAAAACACAAACAATCATTTAAAAAAAAAACTCGTCATAAAATTCTTCCAACTTCAACAACATAATGTGTTTTATACATTGCATATTTACTACATTGAATCAATCGGTCATGAATTTTATTTTATCATTTAGATTCATGGAAATTAACATCCTGATTTTGTCACAAAAAGTAATTAAGGGTTGGGGCCTAATTATTAAACTATTTAATTTAACTTTGATATTTAATATTTTGAATTTAACAAAAATATTAAATGGGTAGAAATTTTTTTTTCTAATTTGATTATTATTTTATTCATTCTTATCTTTTTTAGAAAATATTAATTTACAATTATTTGAATTTATAAAATCAAAGTAATTTTATTACTACTCCTTTCAACATGTTTTAGGAAACTTTAATGTTTTTTAATATTTAAAAAGCTGGATATATAATTTTAGAAAGCTAAATTTAATTTTGGAATTTATTTAAAAAGTATTTAATAAACAAATAATTAAATTTAAAGCCCCATCTAATAATTAAAAATACATTAATATTAAAAAAATAAAGATATCATGTGTTATACCAAACTTTATCACTTTTAATCCACAATTCTTTATATATAAAACAGACTATAAAGATAAGAGAAGAAATAAAAAAAATTAATAACAAGAGCTTGACATATGGGTAGACATCAAAGTGAAATCTTGAGTAAATCAAAGAGGACATTCCAATAATATACTTAAAAAAAGCTTATCCTAAGCTTTTAATTGAGAGCTTTAGCTATCAAGTTAAAAATTTTGAGTTCAAAAATTTTGTAAATGATAAGTATAAATTTATCTTAATTGACTCAAATCTCAAAAAATATTAATAATAATATCCCCACTAACTACAATGCACAAAGCTCCAGATGCTTGCCCAAGGACAAGACAAGAAATTATTCTGTGCGGTCACCAAATGACGTCTAGAGCTGAATCAGTATGCGCTACATCAATTTTTTTATTGTATACCAATAATTTGTACCGCTGTACCAAGTAACATGACACAGCCTGATTCGCCTCTGAACCGTCTGATAACCGCACAGAATAATTTCTCCCCAAAGACATGCAATCAAATAAAAAGATACCTCTTTTCAGGCGAGAAAGCCTAAATTTCAGAGGAAGGAGAAGTCCTTTTCTAAGAGTCATGGTTTGTTTTCTCATTTTATTTTATTCTTAGCTAAAAGAACAAAACAAAACAACAAGAATGGGAGAGAAGTTTTCTTCTTTATTAACACAAAAACATAGTACAATCTTAATCAACCGTTCAGATACAACATTCTTCATTTTGATTTTCTTTCAGCTCTCTTTTGAGTTTTTTTTCAAATGATAAGAGCTTTTGAAGGCAGTGAATGGTCCACAAAACAAAGCTTCTCAAGCAAAGCAGTGTAGGGCTTAAAGTGTTCTAAAACTGGGGAGCTCAGCTCCTGTAAGGAAGAAATCTACATGGAAGTATTACCCATGATGGAGGAAGAGAAACTGATTAACATAGCAACTTAGTAAAGCATCGTTTGTGATATCTTTTATACTTCTACAAATTTTTAAAACTAAAAATGTTATATAAAAAATTATTTTAAAAAACAATAAAAAAAACAGTCCATCTAATCTCAGCAGCTTTCAGGTCACAAGAAAAATGATTACTCCTGCCATTCATCGCTTGCTATAGGACAAAGAAGTCAATCAAACATACAAAAAGTTTCACATGTAAAAAAACAAACATTCATCTGGTCTTATAATTCTACTTCTAAAAAAAAAAATCTACAATAAATAAAGGAGAACAATATTTTGATGGAATACTAGTAGTAAACACTATCATAGAAGCAATCAATGCATTTACACAAATAAGTACAAAACAGTGAGGAACATAGACAAACAATTGGGGTGATAAACCTTAAGACTCTAGGCCAACTTGGGAAGCTACTTGAGAGTTCCACTACTCCATATGAAACAAAAGAAACCAATACTAAGTCATATACTAACTTCCACCCTTGAACTTCTGAATTTTGGGAGAGACTTTTTAGGCCATGTGATTTGAACTGGGCTATAGTGTGGTCTCAGCAGTTAAAATGCAAGTTCTGATTTTTGTTCTTCTCCATGGCCCTTGGAGCTGTAAGAAAACAGTCCCATGAAGATTAAAACAAGAACAAAACCTTCACAACACAAGAAACATATTCAATGCAACATAAAAAGAAGCCAGTTATGTCCATTTGCTCAAAAACTTAATTAAGAACATGAGGCATACCAAGCCCAATTGCATCTGAGCCCTTCATAATTCGCAATCTTTTACAGGAATCAATGAACATCCTGAAATTTAACAGGAAATAGTAAAAAATCAATACAAAATTGTATATAAACTAAACTATCTATAGGGGCAACTGGAGTCCGATGACCGGAAAAATTGGAATCCCATCCATGCAAGAAGAAAAGCTAACAAAATTACTATTTCCTAAAGAAGAGCAAAAGTAGCTTATCACAGAGGACAAAGAAATTCAGAAGCTTGGATCATTAAGATTCATCTCCTATATTAGTTATATATGTGTGCTCTTCTGCACTACCTTACACTGTAATATAGTCTTAATTTATATTTGAAAAAAGAAATCTAAAAGTTTATAAATACAGTTACTTATAATATCTAGGTAGTCATAGTAAGAGGAATATAAACTTACTCCCAAGGAACATCACCCACAAGCATCCAATCACCATCCTTGTCTTCATATGTGAGCACATACTCTGAACAATTAAGAAGATCTGTCAAATAGCTTTCACTCAACCCATCTTTATTAGGTATGCCCTGCGACGCGTACTGCCCTGAAACACCACAAATTAAAGAGTCGAATGAACTCCACACTGTAGTACTGATTTACTAAAGGAAAATCCAACCAAAAAGGTATCAATAAGAAAGAAAGCAGGAATCATTCAGTACCAAAAGTTGAAAAGATATAGTAAATTTCCATGAGAGAATCTAACTTGCCAACATTTTTTTTAAGGGGCAATTTGGCCAGTTAAGGCAAACTCACAAACACATCACATATGCAAGACTCGAACTCAAGACCTTGTAGTTGATAGCCAAAGCTCCCAACCATCAGACCAAAGAGGATTGTATTAATTTGCAAAGTTAAAATTGCATTCATAATAAAAGTACAAAAAGTTGTAGAATGATTATTGCTCAATGCTAAAAAACATAATGATTCAAGCGAAGATACAATGGAAGTACAACAAAATGTATCGTAGATTAACTTAAAGAATAAACATCATATTCATTGTCGTACTAGCCGAATGGCTTCAAATATGGAAGGAGCAAATAGGCAAAATAGATACTTTCATAATGTTAAGGTACAATGAGATTAAGCTTTGCAACAATTAGTGTAACACAGAACATCCCACTAAATGATAACCACAAAGAAAAAGTAGATAAAAACGCCCATTCTACCTTTATCACTAACCTCATGGTTCTTAACAACCACTAGAAGATATCAAAGAACACAGCATACAAATATGATGTACAACAAAATGGCACAATAATCAAATATCCGTTTTATCAGCTTTTACTCATGAAGAAAGTATTAGCTCATCAGCAATGAAAATGTAATATTGAGAAGCAGAACTCACCCATGGTAAATCCACTGAACATCTTCTCAAGACCTGCCGAGAGATCCTTATAGTTGCGGTGAGTCTTCAGATCAACCTTCCTTAAGTATGGGGCTCCATCCATGCTAACCTTGACATAGAGGCATCCACCATCCACATCGCCCTTGTTCTTTAATGGACTTGAGGCCATAGTGTTCTTGCGGTGGCTGCGGATTGGCGGCCATCCTACAACCTGTGCCCTGTAAACAATTATCAAGGTTAATAACTTTACCTTTAGCCTAGTCTGTCTGGTAGATCTAAAGAAGCTTCAGGGAATCCAAAACATGAAGGAAAAACTTCAAGAAAACTGAAAGAAAGAACTCAGTAGGAAAAAAAAAGGCATCCTTCTAATAGAAAGGTAAAAGTACAAACATTAAAGAGGAAAATAATTTGTTAAATTTGAAAGAGGGATGATAATTAAAATAGAAACTTGGATGATGATATCTTGAACTTAATTTACTCAGAAAACAAGACATGCACTCTTAAACTGCAACAAATTTCCATCAGATCGCAAGGATTTCCTTTCTATTTCAAAAAACCAAAAAAAAAAAGATCATCTTACATAATAGGAAAAAAGTGTCTTGTGATTCCAAAACATGTATCTTGGTATGCTGAGTTAATCTTAAATAGGGATATCCCAAGCCTTTTTTTTCTTTTAACGATAATCCATCAAAACCAATAGAAAATATGTATGCCACATTTCTGAAACTAGATCAAGGAAGAACTGAAAGGGTCAAAATCTCGGTACTATTAGTAAATTCTTCATCTCCTTTTTTCCCAAAAGTCTTAAAGCAAATGAATTGGGACTAACATTAAACAAAAAAATTAGGTAATACTACTGGAAGTGAACAGCAATCACATATAGATATGTAAAAAAAAAAAAAAAAACAAAAAACAAGCAGCAATCCTTTATTCTTCCATAATCCTACGAGAAAACCATTTTTTTCTCTATTTCCTTTAGAAAAAAAAAACCATGCCAGTACAATAATAATCCTGAAAATAAATAGCACAAATCAGCTACAATATATCTCATCAATTTCTCACACAGAATGCTCCACGTCTGCTTCCTAACACTAATAAAACATTCCATGGGAAAGAACACAAGAAATCGCTCAGCAAAAGGAGAGTTCACCCTGATTCCAAACTCAAGAACTTACTTCGCAGCAGAAGGTCCCTGAGTCTTCTTCTCCTGCGCCTGCATGGCATTCACCGACACGTCATTTCCACCGCCTCCGCAAGACCTAGGCGAGAACAAGGCGCCACCTTTCTCCATTTCCACCTCGGATCCACCCCTCCCAGAGAAACCCCACTTACCTTTTCCATCAATCACGTCTGAGAACCCTCTCTTTGCACCAGCAGGGAAGTTTTTGGGCGGCTGTAAGCCGAGAGTGAGACCCACCTTCTCCTTGCGCATAGGAGACTCAGATCCCGGAAGCCCGAGCCGAAGCTCCGTCCCCCGGAGGTTCACCCCATCACCGTCAGCGAGGTCGTAGGAGGAACTCTCAAGAGAAGAGCAGACTTCCGCTAGGCCTATGTAGTCATGCTCAAGCTGCAGGTTCATCATCTCGCAAGGGAATTTCAGCGAACATGAAGCGCGCGCTCTGAATCAAGCAAAGAAGGAGAGGAATGGGACGGAGAGCTTTGGAGTTTGGCGTTAATGCCGCAGAACCTTACTCTAATACAAGCTTTCCAAGTTTCACTTTCAGCCGGTGACTTTAGGACCATTAACGTCACCTCAGAAGCTGAATATTACAAAGGTAGTAAAGAAACTTTTAATAAAATTTTATATGCTTGATTTTGGACGCCATTTTAGCTTCTTTTAAAAGTATTTTTATGTATAAAAATTAAAAAATTTTAGTTTAAAAGTTTTTTATATAAAAAAAATATTTTAGAAAATAACAAAAAATCGTACCAAACTAAACTAAAGTTATAATAAATCTATATCTCACTATGTAAGCTCGGCTACCTAAATCTTCTTTCTCCATTATAATTTGCATCATATTAAGAGTCAAATTATCCATTAAATCTAATGAAGAAATATTATTTCTTATACTGTCTAACTAAACATTTTTAGGTCTATCTCTATATTTCATAATATAGATTGAATGTTAATGCGAGCTAGAATATACGTGGCGATAGAGTTAGAATTTTACGTCTCAGCATTGTACGGATATTCAACACACAAACAAAAAACACAATATTTTTACGAGAAAAACCTTGGAAAAAGGAAAAATCATTGGGTCATGTCTAATTGAAATAATTCCACTAGTGTCTTAATAGATTACAAATGTCTTGATTCATCCTTGAAACTAAGGATGATCATATTACAATCATCAACTATCATGTTGAAATCTAGCGATGAACGGAAATCGAACGAAAGTCCAACATCAATGGGTAGACGGGTGAAAGTCTGGCATCAGTCGGTGGCCGGGTGAAAATCTTTCTTCAGTTGGTGACTAGGCTGAAGTCCGACGTTAGTCGATGGCCGGGCGGAGGTCTAACTTAGCTAGTGGTCAGGAAGAAGTCTAGCATCAGTCGGTGGTTGGGTGGAAGTCTAGCGATAGCCAATGAGGAGTTTGTGGTAAGAGAATTCTAGTTTCTCTTATTTATTCTCTTCCTTTCTTGGGTCCCCTTCCATGAGGAATGAGAGATTTATTTATAATTTTTTTGAGAGTGACATAACTAGTAAATAGGAGAGAGATCAAGGGTAAGTCAGGAGTTGTTTAAATGAACAATCGATGTTGATTCCCTTGATTATGAATTGTTTACTAGGCATTTGAATGTCTTAGCGATATTAGAATTTGAAGATCTTGGGCTCGTTGGAATTTTCTCGTCGAGCCATTTGATTCGACTATAAGCATGTCACATTTTGTTATTCAAATTATTGTTTGAACTTTTAAAATGCGCTTCGGATTTTTGATTTGGACCCATTTAGGCTCGGATTGAGTCAAATCTTGTGTCGTTGGGTTCATATTTTCAAGACGTTCAGTTCGACTATAAGTTTATTTAAATCGGAGTTGAAATGCTCCCATATTTAATTTCAAAAGTTTCAGACTTGATTTTTCCTAGAGATTCGTGCCCCATCAATAATATAATTTTTTGATGATATATCAATACATCTACTATCATAATTGGGTCATCCAAAGGCCAACATTTTCTTTGACCACACCATTTAAGGTGACTCTCTCTAATCTTATTAAAATGTTAATGAGAATCAGATCAATTGCAACTTCAACGGAATTGAAAATATTGAAATTGAAGTTAAAAGTGCGATTTTTAAACTTGAGTTCAGCTCTTCTTTAACTTCAAATAAAAACATAAAAGTTCATGCATTTTTTCATCACAATTAGCATTCAATTAAATTTAGATGATAATGTAACTTATCTTGGTCTGTTGGTTGAGAACTTTGACTACCAATCAAGAAGTCTTAAGTTCATGCATTATTCACCAATCACTCGTATATATAATTAATGATTCCACTTTTAGAGGTTTGGGCATAGTTCTTTACTTTATTCTTTGTGTAGCTGATTGGACTTTTAGGAGACCCTAGGGAAAGTTTGAGGAGGTTGTATGACATCAATGAATTATCCTGAGGTGCACCAAGAGGGATGGTGAATTGGTTAATTTAAAATTTTTTTAGCACAAAATTTTTTGTGACTTTTCAATAACTTAAAATAAATAAATTGATCACTCTATGTGGAAGTTAATAGACTTAACAACAACTACAATAATGGTGATGATAATTTAGTCAACTCGATATAATATCAATTATAGATTTTCAACATGCATCTTTCAGGAAAATAAATTGCAGAAAAGTAAAATGTAGAAAAGTAAAATAAGAAAGAACACACTAGAATTTTATATTGGTTTGGTCAAATAATGAATTGCGTCCACTCCCCAGAGTCATCCTTTCTAGGTATTGCAATAAACATTTAATGACTCTCCTTTAGCCCCCACAACTAGGTGGATAAGCCCATACAAAATCTCTTTCACCTGACCTGATACAGTATTTGATCGTAATCTTTTCACCCTCCTACTGTGGTAGAGAACATGGACTCCTTAATAATCCTTTTAGTGAAGGCAGAGAACATGGAATCCTTTTTCACCCTCCTAGTGAAGGTAGAGAACCTGAAATTCTTTTTCACTCTTAATTTAGATAGAGAACCTGTAATCATTTTAACAATTTTGGTGAAGGCAGAGAATCTGAAATCCTTTTTCATCCTCTTAGTAAAGGTAGAAAACCTGAAATCCTTTTTCAACCTCATAGTGAAGGCACAAAATCTCGAATCACTTTCACATTTCCCTTTGTAGCGGAGTAACCGGGTCCTTTGACACCAAATAGATCTTCTTCCCAAAGCTCAGGACAAACCTTGATACATAGAGAAACTCAGGTGCAAGTTTGCGAGAGAAACCGTGTGAAACTCATTGAAACCCAAAAGGATCTTCTTACTCTCTCACAAACTCCACAATTTCTCTCCCAAGTTATAGACTCTCTCTTCAAGCTTTCTTTAGAAGAAAACAATTCACTGAATGTCAAAAAGACTTTTACAAAGTTTTTTTAGAAAACTTAAATAGAGGGTTTCAAAGAACCCTAAAAATTCAATTTAACCATCAAAATTTATACAGTATATTTGTAGGATTGTCTAGTATGATACCCAAAATTTGACCTGTTAGTATTGTAGGATCACCAGTTACTATAATACTATCAGTTCAAATTTTCATTGTTTGTACTTTTATGATTATGATTTAGTGCAGTACATTTAGTTCAAGCGAATTACAATTCATCCAGGATGAATCCTGGGACGATCAAATATTATATTTGTTGATTGTATAGTACGATTCAGTTCATACTATACGATCAAAATATTAAAATTAAAAATATTCAATTGATTAATCATATGATTAAATTAGGTAATATTTTAAAAAATGTATAATAAGAATAAAAAAATATTTAAAATTCAAAATTTTACCTAATTTAATAAACAATGGGGTATGTGCTTAAACTAGATTATCCAATACGATGTGGTGTTCGTACTGTATGATTAATTATATTTCAAAATTATTTATTTCAGATAAATCAAATATTTAAATTAATTTCTATAAAAATAGATAGTATAATACAATCTATATCATACAATACGATGTATAGAAAAATTAAATTATTTAAAATTATTTTTGCTCCCCTTATGTGTATGTGTACGATCACTAGACTAGTATATATACACCCTTATATAATAAATAAATTAAAATTATAGTCTCTTTCAACATACTCTATTCTACCAAAATCTTCAAATAATAGTACATGTTGTATCTAAAATGTTAATCAACACACAAACAGTGGCGGAACCATGTAGGATTTAGGGGGGGCAATTGCCCCCCCTCAAAAAAAAAAAAATTTTATAGGAGTAAAATATTTTGCCCCTCCTAAAAATTACTTTTGCCCCCCTTAAAAAATTCTTTTGACCTAACTTACCCTAAAATATCTATATATTTTTTCATATTTAGTTCTAATATTCTATTTCATGTTTTTCATGATAGTTTAATTACACATTTTTTCTTTATTTTTCTTGTTTATTTTTTTTTTAAAAAAACTTTTCGTAATATATAGATATATAATATTATTTTTTAAAAATATTTAATTATTTTTTGTGCTGTATTTCCCCCCCCTCAAAATTGAAGTTGGTTCCGCCCCTGCACACAAACAAATATGCATTACAAATATTTGGAGAAATAAAGTATCTCTTCCTTAATTTTGCTTTAACTAAAAATAAAATCTAATCTTTTAAGACACCCACTAGACATTTTGGAGAGACTTATAGTTAACACATAAAATGAATCAAGTCACTGGGATCCAAAGTACTCTGGATGAAAGTAGGTAGTGATAGCAGGGATTAAACCATAAAATGAATAATATGATGGATCGACATCAAAAGCATTCTCAATTTACTTTTGATTTCAATGGGCACCTCTTAGCATGTTCAAGAACTGCCAACTATTTTAGGGTTTAGAGAGAATATTTGTCTCTATAGCCTTAGCCTATGAACCTTATAGGGGGGGATAACTTGCATTTTATATATTTCCTCATTTTTGTTCTTTATGTTTAAATGTAAGTTTCGGGGGAAAATTGATAAAATTATATTTTATTCTATTATGTGAGCTTAATTTTATTATTTACCTTCAATTTTTGTCTTTTACACTTATATATATTAATTAATCATATCTTATATTTACTTGGAAAGTAAATTTAGAATTTTAAAATTAAGAAAAATAATAATTTATGTGATTAAGAGTGTGTAAAGAAGATATTAATGCAATTAAGCAACATGTATAACAACTAGTACTTTCATTAAATATTTCCTAATAAAGAAGACATTTTTAAGCACTTAAGCACTTGACTACTTATCTTAGGATTAATTGATTAAAGGTTTAATTAGAATCCATCATTTATATAATTTGAATGAATATTATAAGCATGCTTTTTATGGAATCATAAGACCTTTTAAGATAGTCGGAATTGCTTTGTAAAGGAATATGAAAAAAAAAAAGAAAGAAGAAAAAAGGTAAGATAGTCAAAATATTCACATAAACATTTAAGAGTTAGATTTACATGGAATATTAGTAGAGATGAAATATTAGGTTGTTATAGAGTGTATTAATGGAGTTATTAACCTTTAAATGCTATTATTTAATCCATTAAG